GTATGACAAGTATTATAAAGTTAATATCAGTAAAGGTGTAAAACATTTATCATAAATAAACATATTTTTTCTTGTCAATTGTCCTGTCTTCCGTAAACTACCTTTAGCTAGCTTGGACTAGAAGTACACAGAACAAGGAACCCCTCCACTGTACTTGTGAATCTGTCCAAGATAATGAAGTATCTAAGGTAGATAACATCGACATAGGTCGCACTTTTGTCCACATATATGGAAATATCGACCAAAACTAAGAGGTATGATCTTAGCCTACATGCTCTATGATATTCAACTTGTGTCTCATCACCATCATCATCCACCGCTACAACCAGGTGGTTTTCATACATATCCACCAGGAATAAAAATCTAGCATGATATCCTCTCTTGTCATTTATATCCTATTGGACTTTTCCCGATTCATCTCCCAAATTACTCACCACCATGTCTAATGCCACAAGTCTACTAGTTCTAGATTAGTTTAATAATTTTATGGTGCTCGGAAGATGTATGAAACATGATACATCATCAAGTGAGATGAACATCTCACTGATCTAAAGATAAAATAACAACGTAACTATGAGACATCTCTCCAAAAAAGTAGACAATAAACCATGCATAGTTAATTTAAGCATATCTAGCCCTACTTAAATCCTACAGCCCAGATAGCTGCAACACATCTTGAAACCATGATTCATTAAGTTGCTCTAACTTTGCAACCTTCCTACCATGGTTAATATCTTTTAATGTATCACGGTACTACAAAAAATAAATGCATCCATCGTCAAACAGTTCAAATACTATAAGATAGATGTTTAAAAGAGTAATTAAAGACTTATGTTACCTCTCCCTCCCGCATGTGCCTAGCACCATGGTCTTGATATAGAGAAAGCAATAAAAGGTTCTATGGGCCTTTTGGAAAACCATTAGGCACGTCAACATCTACGGAAGCAGTGGCTTCTAGATAAATAGAAGAAACATGAATCCGAGAACATGTTGATGGAGATACATAAACCCGGGAAGATGATGTGCCAACATCAAATGAAGTTTCTCAAATTGTAGGTTGCGACGGTCTAGCTTTCTCCCTCCAAACGAAAGCATGTTGGACCATTCTACCATGCATCATTCTTTATTGGTTTACAGCCATTTTTCCTATAATCAAACAAGAAAAATCATCTCATAACCAAAAAAGGCATTGTCAAACCTAACAAAAAAAATTTTAAATCTAGATTTTGTTATGCAGACTGAGGGTCCAAATTTCAAAATCCGGATTATACTTAATTGTTGGTGTAAGCCCTATAGGTCAATAGTTTTATACTAAACTTGGTACTTGTATCGAATTATCTATTAATAATAACAAAACATTTATATGTTATATCTTTTTCTTCAAAATAATAAAGTCCTTAGAATAGCTAATTTGTTTAATGAAATATTGAGTGTTACTTAATCATGAGATCTCATAAAATATAAGAAAATTATTCTTAAAATATCCATAGTCAAGATTTATTGTGAAGTGGGACAACATTAAAACATTGAGACTTTATGTAGATAGACAGATGATCGCATCTCATTGATTATGGATAAAGAGTTATAAAGTCTTTACATATGTATGAATATTATGAGTAATATTTATATTGGATTGATCCACCATCAGAATACTACATAGAACATTATGAAAGTGTCATAATTTATTCTCAGTGTGATAATGGTGTATACCACACTTTGATCTAAAACTACTATGGACCCAAGATATGGAGTCGAGTATTTATTTCCTATCAAACATTGTTCGTAATAAGATGACCATAAAAATGGTCGATGGGTACTCTACAAATCATGTTGAGGCACATAGTGACCTAGATGGAATTTTCTCATCCTACGTAACATGATATATGTATATGGATCCAATATTGAACTTCATAAGAGTGACATGGTATATGTCTTGTGTTCAATATAAACATGAGGGCAAAAGGATAATTGTACACGTAAACACTATCACCGAAAGATTTTTTTTTCAAATCACATGATATTTCTGTGACTTAGCTAGTAGTGATGTGTTTTATATACCACTCAATTTTTATCATATTAAATATATAATTTGATATAATTGTTTGCGTCAAGAAAATCTATAGGGTCACACACATAATGACTAATCAATGAGAGATAAAATAAATAAGTGAAAATTATTCAAGTATGTGGGCTTATTAAGAACTATCATTAATTAGAGATACATGATACACCGTAAGGTACAATGATCTTAAGTGAATTATGGAACATCATATTCGTGTGGACCGAGTAAAGGCATTATTGTTCAACGCTCATGATCGTTCTTCTAATTTTGCAATAATAATTAATTGGAACAAGAGGTAATCAATCTATCGTTAATCATTCTCATTTGTAAGGATTAGCTAAGGAAAATTTTTGTTTTCCGTTGTGTTTTATATCATTATTTCCCTTCAATAATTCGCAAAGATGAAGCAAAGAAATAGAGCGCGAACCCTAAGCTCCAATGTTCAAAATTCCAAATCAATGAAGTTTAGGACAAACAAATATGACATATCTATCGCATTTAACCTAATTTAGCATACATATAAACTATATAGGTAATGCATGCATGTTAAATCAAAAAAAGGGAAAGGGAATAAGTAACTTACCAAATTTTTGCTTTGTTACATCTTGGATTGGTTGTAGTGTAGTGGAGTAGAACTTCATATTCATGCTAAGCTTTAATGAAATGAAGCATAAGTTCTAAGAATGCTTGAAAAGTTATAGAATAAGAGTATGCTTTGATTTTATCTAGTTTGCTCTCGTTTTGATCTGTTTGCTGAAATGAAAAAAGGAAGGAATAGGGAAATGGGTCGGATAGTTAAATAAAAGTGTCTGATTCCAATCTCTGTAGTAATTTCGTACATTGAAATTTAAAATTTTTTTAAACGTGTGTTTGTATGATTTTGAGATTGGGCATAAGTGTGGTGTGTTGAGACGCATCCGGAGTTCAATCTCTGTAACTTATGAATCTAAATTCCAAAGTCTGGATTTTTTAACACTTGATTTAGTGTGTTCTATTGAGTGATTATTGTGTAGTAAGTGTGTCCTAATTTTAAAATTTGGATTCTAAAGATATTTTAGAATTTTGTCGGGGTGTATGAGTGAGTCGTGAGATGTATTAAACAATCTCATATATATAATGGTGGATGACATGATAGTAGGAATTTAATAGTAAGCTGTCCAACAGATCATGAACTAAACTTAGATATTATTTTAGAATTTTGATTGACCTAACTCAATCCTACAAAACCGACTTGAAAGAATTAAACCTACTTATAAATATATGGTCATGTTAAATATTGTCAAATGTGAAACGATTAACCAAAAATAATAAGATAAGAGAATAAAATAAAAATATTACTTCGTATACCTCATTTTTAGGAATCTTTGACATTTTTATGTATGTTAAAAAAAATTGGTAGTGTAGAAATTTGTATAATCTATGTATGACTATTTGTAAATTACTCATTGAGTTAAAATGAATTTATTGTTGGTTTATTATATTTCAAAAAAAAAATTGACAGTATCCAATACACGAAAAACTATTTATTTATGACATTTTGTCAAGGGCTTAAATTTACGGGAAAAAAATTGGCCTAAGAACGTTTAACATAATCATATGGAAGAAGTAACTATTTGATTTGATACAAAATTACAAAGAGCAGTTGAAGACATCGTGGTTGGTGTAGGTTATTTTTTTGGGAACCTTTAATGAATTGTGACATCTTTATCCATTAGAGTTAGAGGATTAAGTTTTTACTCAGAAGTAGAGGATGCCTCATGCGCTTTTCTAGCTTGTAAGATCCATGTTGAATGTTACAAGATCATATATTAAGAGACAATTGAATATATGGTTTGAACTTTGATTTCATCGAAGTTTTTTATGGTCTTAGGATTTGCGATTTTAGATTTTTCCCTTAGGCATATACGTAAAGTTTAATATGACCTCAAGAGAGAAAGCAATTTTTTGTTGTTTGTAAGTTGCATATATTCAGAATTTTCTCCTTGTTATTCCTATTGATGGGTTATGTCAAAATATACCATCGATAGAGTACCGTAGTATCCTTAGATACTGCCTTATGATTCTTTTACTTCATATTGTCGCAAGATGTTCTTGGATACATTTTGGGAACATGTGGTTCATTGTAAGGAGCTTTCAGACTTTAAATACCCATATAAATTTGTTAAGAATGTTATATTTGATATATTTTTACATACTAGAATATTTGTGAAGAAAAATGTGCTTGTAAGTTTTTTGGCTGGTCCACAAGAGAAGAGATCAACACTTAGGTCAGTAGATGTTCTAGTGTACGCTTGGATAAAAGAAATACATGCATATGTGGACTTGATTGAAATTTCTCCACCGTTGAGACCAAAGACGAGATGTTTTACTATGGGACACAGACAATCTTCAAAATCGTTTCAAGTAAAATGGTCAAATATGATAAAGTGTATTTCTGCAATCAACTCATACCATTTATCTTCGACAATTACTTTTTTTTACACGAGAGATCAGGAATTTTTTAAAAAAATTTAAAAGCTCATATATTACAATGTTGTGTCAAAAGATTAATGAATGTAGTTATTAATTTTAAAAATATTTTTCTCAAAATAATTTGAAGTTTCAAAATTAGTACATTTAATTTTGTATAGATTTTTTTATTGGCAATTTGCACTAGTTACTCAATTTCTTAGAAACACACAAGGAAGAGTAGTTAAATTTTCAATTGTCAAAGAAATAGTATTAGTCAAATCCAATCTTTGTTTTTATACAAAATACTATATCCATATATATATATATAGACGATCTATACCTGTCATCCAACAGGTAAAATCTTTCGAGGAAATTGATGTAAGCATAATATGGTTATTTAATTTTCATTAATTTCTTTATAATTCTCTCTTTAACTATCTTTTATTGTATCCGTCTTATGTAGATCAGAGACAAAGAAAGATTCACAATGCGCGTCATTAGTATATTTTTCGTTTCTCTCTTATTCACATTGACATTCAAAGCTGAAGCAACAAACACAAATTTTTCATATCCATCAACATTCCAATTTTTTCATGTTCCGGATCAAACTCAAAAACATGACGTCTTCATTAGCTTTCGCGGTCCGGGTATTCGCCACGGTTTTCTTGCCGATTTGGTTGAAGCTTTGTCTCAAAAGAAAATAACTTTCTTCATAGACAATGAACTTATAAAAGGAGATGAAATAGCAGAATCACTTGTTCAAGCAATTGAAACAGCTTCGATTTCTTTGGTTATATTCACTGAAAACTATGCTTCTTCTTCATGGTGTTTGGATGAGCTAGTCAAAATTGTGGAGTGTAGAGAGAAAAAAAGACGGGTTTTGTTGCCTGTTTTCTACAAGGTTGACCCCAGAACTGTGAGGCATCAAAATGGAAGTTATGGAAGTGATTTTGATGAACATGACATGAAATTTAGTTTGAGCAAGGTGCAACGGTGGAGATATGCTTTGAAGAAAGCAGCAGATGTCAATGGCTTTCATTCATCGAATTATTTGTAAGTTTTGTTTTAATTTCCAATATTAATTTCTTTTTTTAATTTTTTAATTTTCAAAAATAAAAATTTATTTTGAAAATCTTCTATTTTTCTATCTAATTATGTTTTTCATGGTGTTTGAATGAGCTATTCAGAAATTTTAAGTTTATATTTAAAGTTGTATGAGAAAACTTTCAAAATCAAATAACAGTCAATTGTGATCAAATTTGTAACTATAGGTGGATAAAATAGTGACGGATATGGTCATATAGTAGTTGGTAATGATAAAAATAGTGATTGAATTATGATATGTGGTAGTCAAAATAATAGTATTATTGGGTTATGTTACTAAAGTTAGTTTAGCGTTAAATGAGTGGTGGTTAGAGTGGAAGTCAATGAAGGATTTGTAGTTAAATTAATGAACAGAGATTAATAGAGTGATGACAAACCACGATGAGAGTGATGGTTGAAGTGGTTGTTAATAACAACTATCACAATGGTTAATAATTGTCACAGTGGTGACAATTGATGATTAGAGTTTAATGAGATAATGATTGAAGATTATAAGAGTAGTTAATTCTAATCATAAGAGTAGTTAATTACGATTATATTCGTGATTATAAGTGGATAGAATGGTGATGAATATGGTCATAGTGGTGACCAAAATTTTAAAACTATACCGACCAAGAAGGAATAGAATAGGGTTGTTTTTAAGTTATAGATAATTTGAAAAAGAAAAAAAATCCATTTTAGATTTGAGTTATTCTTTCTAATTTCTTTTGTCACTATATATTGCTTTTATATTATAATTAATTAAATATGTTTTAAATAATATTGTACGGGACTAAATGTTTAACTATAAAAAATTGACACGAAGATAAATAAATGTAAAAGAAATTCAGATGTGTTGGAAAATTAGATTTAATAGGATTAAAAAAGACCCCATTAAAAAGAGAATAGAATAAGTTGCAATAATATTTATAGTAGAAAAATAGTACAAACTGGATTTAGGTGATTTGAGAATACCTAAAAAAATTATGTATTCTATATTATAGATACTAACCTTTTTTTTCTCTAAAAGACGGAATAATAAGATATATAAAATCAAGGAAAAATCCTAAAGTATAGATACAGTAAACTGGGATAAGAAGTACCACAGACAGAAACCAACAAGGGAAAAGGAAGAAAAGAGCACAAAAGGCGAAAAGCGAACAACAAGAAGCAAACTCTAAAACCAAAATCAAGAACAAGGGTTCTCCCCAACTAAGAATCAAGATAGATCTCAGACCACCAATCCCATCAAGAACAGAGCAAGAGACACTTGATACAACCAAACCACATCACCCCTCAAGATAGAAAACAACCTCTCGACCTGTTATTGATAAATGTTAAGGATTTAGTTCACATAAGACTCGCACAAAAACCAATTTCAGACCATAAAAGTACTCTTCTCCCCCACTTTCTTCACATTTGTTTGGATATTAGAGAACAAGTTATTATTACGCACCAACCAAATGGTCTACACCACAGCATGACAAATCATGACAAACTCACTCCTAACCTTAGACATTCCTCACAATGATCGAAAAAACTCAAAAATGGTGCTCAAGTCCCTAGGTAAGACACTCTGGACTCCTAACCATCTAAAGATTATATACCAGACACTGGAGACTAAGTTAGCGGTAACAAACAAATAGGAAGCAGACTTAAGAAAGCCCTCACACATAATACACGAGATACCCTCTAGATCAATAATAATTTTTCACTTGAAAAAATTCTTTTTAGAGGGGAATCTAGGTTAAAGGAGCTGCCAAGAAAACACTTCCCCTTTAGATGGGGCTCGACTATAAGGGGAAGGATAGAGACATCCCTCACACCCTAACAAACTGAGAGAAAAAATGCAGTTGGAGACTATACGCGGAGGCCACTGAAAATGTGTCATTTTTGCTATGTCTCTAAACCCACCTATCGTTTTCCATACTAAGATGAACAGGCTGAAGAACATATAAGAAATTAGAGATCATGGCCTCTTCATTGTCAAAAAAAGATCTTCTTCGTCTAAGATCCCAATAAATCCTCCCCTCGACCCATTGGCCTAACTCTCCCATATTTCCGTCCTGCACTTGGGAGATGGTAAAAATACTCTAAAACCTTTGGGTCATGGGAACATCTCCAATCCAAAGGTCGTGTCAAAAAGAGGTTTGAAGACCAAAGTCCACCTTCCTAATCAAGTTATCCTCAAACTAGTTAGAGGGATCAAGTCTCTTAGCTCTAGGGAGGGATACCCATTTCCATCAAGAGGACACTGAAGCCAAATAAGACTTTCTACCACTAGATAAAGAGAGGAGACATGAGGGACCATAACAAGTAGACAAGATATCATACTAGACACTAGAAACACCTGAGAGAAACTTCCACCTCCATTTAGCTAAAAGGGCGAGAATAACAAGCTGAAGATCACTAACACTCAATCCCCCTTTAGAGGGTAGTCAAACTATTGGAGATAGAGAAAAACCTATAAGATAAATTATTAAAAGAGTTCTTGAGATTAATGATCTGAATAAAAGTATGATATTTAATAGAACATAATGATTTAGTTTGATTCATTCAACTGGATTTATCTATCCAAATAAGACTTAAGTATAAATTCAGTTCAACTTTCATTTTTGTTCTTGAACTTCTTTAATGGTGATCTTTGCTTAATGGGATGATGGGTCTTCTTAGAATGACTTAGTGGTAAGAGGGATTTATGATTTTTGTTGTTGTTGCTTTCTTCTTGACAAAATTGACGTTCTTATTGTGCATTTATGTGTTCTCAACACCTGATCTCTCACACACTTAAGTGTAAGACTTGCAAGTCATGTCCCTCTTTTAGGGCTCTTTGAAGACCATAGTTTTAAATTATGGTTATGTTATGTTCCAATGACTATATTGAAAAAAGACTTGGTAAAAATTATGTTTGCAATATTTAAAATATTTAATTTAAATTGAGATCACAATTGCAATTGTTTGTGGCAATTGCACTTGAAGACGACAATTGAAAAAACATTAATTGTCTTTTTGTTTCTTTTGTACATTTATCATACATTGATCTTAGTATATAATATATATCTTATGCTAATTGTAAGCTTCTTTAATAATTTGATACATTTTCCTTCTTTTATTCCATAGGAATGATGTAGAGCTTATTAAAGAAATAGTTAAAAATGTGTTTAAGAGGTTGGATCAAGTGCGTCAATTTAGCTCAAAACAATTTGTTAGGATTGGTAAACAAGTTTCACAGTTGGAATCATTTTTACAACTAGATTCACAAGATGTTCGTGTGATTGGAATATGGAGGATGAATGGTATAGGCAAAACCACTATTGCACAGGTGATGTATGACATGTTATCTTCTGAGTATGAAGGTTCTTACTTCAAGGGTGAGGTAAGAAAAGAATGGGGAACACATGGAAATGTGTATTTAAAGAAAGATCTTTATTCTACTTTACTTGGGGAACAAGATTTGTGTGAGATATTAGATCGAACTCTAGTTTTGTCAACTAGGACGTTATCAGCAATGAGAGTTTTCATGTTTCAACAGGAGACATGCATGGAGTCAAAGTTAGTTCACATGCTGATGTCTGAATGTTACATGTTATAGTCGAAGTTAGTTCTAGTATGTAATTCAAATTATTATGTAGAATTGGGCCTTGTTGTTTGGATCCAATTGTTTAGGATAACTTATTGTTTAAGTTAACTTAGTAGCCTATAAATAGGCTAGATCTCTCAGGTTGTTGAGAGGGGCCAGTTGTTGTTATTCACTTGTAATCATTTGTACCCTAATTGAGTAAATGAATAGAAAAACAATTTTCCCAATCCTATTCTCCTTGTTTCTTTTCTTCTTTCTTCTTTCTCTCTTTGTTAACTTAATGGTTTCTTTGTCCATCAAGAAACTTCGTTTCTCAAACAAGAAATTGTTTATTGGTATCGTTTGTCACAATAAACTGGTATGGTGAGCATGAAGAAATATCCCATCAACAAAGTTTGAAATTGAGAAGTTCACCGAAGTTAACAATTTTGGTTTATGGCACTTGAAGATGTGAGCTCTTCTTGTTCAATAGCGTTTGGTAGAAGCATTAAAGGGAAAAGAAGTCATGGATGATGCATTAACGGAGAAGGATAAGACAACGATGATCGAGAAAGCCCATAGTGCCATTATTCTGAGTCTTGGTGATAAGATTATCAGGCAGGTCCCGAAGGAGATGACGGCAGCTGGTATTTGGCTGAAACTCGAAGGACTGTATATGAAAAAATCCTTGGTGAATCGTATGTACTTGAAGCAAACCATGTTTTCATTCAAGATGAATGAAGATAAAGCATTGACAGAGTAGCTGAATACATTCAACAAGCTGATTCTTGATCTTGAAAATATTGATGTTACCATCACTGATGAAGATCAAGCATTTTTACTACTGTGTTCTTTACCTAAGTCACATGCTCACTTCAAAAAAAACCTCTTGTATGGAAGAGAGTCCGTGACCTTTGAAAAATTTTAAGCAGCCTTGTGTTTGAAGGATTTGAACGAAACAAAGGATCAGAAACCATCATCAGTTGGCAAAGGTTTGTCCATTAAAGGGAAATTCTTGAAGAAAGATGGTAGGTTTGAGAAGAAGAAAGGTAAAAATCAGTAGAAGTTTTATGGTGGTGATATTTTTGGCATCAGGTGTTATCACTGTAAGAAGGAAGGTCATACAAGAAAGTTGTGTCCTGGGCGCCTGAATAGTCATAGAGGTAAGGACATTGGAAATGTAGTTATTGTGCAAGATGATTACAAATCATCTGATGTCCTTGTGGTTTCGAGTAGCAAATCTTGAAAATAATGGATTATGGATTCAAGATGTACTTGGCATATGACTCCAAACAAGAATGTGTTTGAAGAATTATGTGATCAAGATGGTGGATCAATGTTGTTGGAAAACAATAAAGCTTGCAAAATTGTAGGTATTTGATCTGTGAGATTCAAGCTCCATGGTGAGTCAATAA